GAAGCAGCCAATCGATGTTTCTCTCTCTCTCCCCCCTACTTCCTCTTTCTCTAAAATAGTAATGATAGCCCTGGCCGGTTTGGCTCAGCGGTTACAGCATTGGCTTGAGGACCAGAGAGTCCTGGGTTCGGTTCCCGCTAAGGACATGTACCTTGGTTGCAGTTTGTCCCTGGCCCCGGTTGGGGTTATGTGGGTGGCAACCAGTCGATATGTCTCTCTCACATCGATGTTTCTCTCTCTCTCTTCCCCCCTCTCTCCCTCCTGTTCTATCTGAAGATAAATGCAAAAAAAAAAAGTGTCCTCGGGTGAAGATAAAATTTAAATAGTAATAATAAAAAACAAATTTTTTTTCTTTACTGCTTTCAGAGAGAAAGAGGAAGGGAGAAGGAGAGAGAGATAGAAATATTGATGAGTGAGAACATCGATTGGCCGCGTCCTGCATGCCCCTACTGGGGATCGGGCCCACAACCTGGGCATGTGCCCTGACTGGGAATTGACCTGGCAACCTCTTGATGCATGAGTCAATGCTCAACCACTGAACCACACTGCTGGGCTATGAATAAGCAAACAAACAAACAAATAAATAAAAAGACCCAAAACCTTGCCCTGGCCAGTTTTGCTCAGTGGTTAGAGCGTTGGCCCACAGACCAAAGAGTCACAGGTTCAATTCTGATCAAAGGCATGTACCTCAGATGCAGTTGGACCCCAGACTAGCTCAGGGTCCTGTGAAAAGCAGTCCATCGATGTTTCTCTCTCTCCTTCCCACTCTGTCTCAAGATAAATGGAACAAGTGTCCTCAGGTGAGGAATAAAAAATTTAAAAAATTTAAAAAAAGACCCAAAACCAACTACAAATGCAAATGCTAACTGGTTCTGGGTGGCAGTCACTCATGGGCTTCCCCATAAGCTTGGAGTATTTACTACAGTGAACGCCTCGGTTCTCGACCAAATCGGTATTCGACCAGGAGATTCGAGAAACTTTTGTCTTGGAATCCGAACAAATATTTGGAACTCGAACTTCCGAGATGAGCCGAGTTGAGCCGAATGGCGTTCATTCGGCCCAGCGCGCCTTGCTTGCGTCATCAGTGTGAGTGCAGAGAGAGAGTCACGCTTTGTGGAGAGAGTCACGCTTTACACTGAATTTAACCCTTAGACATACTGTACACTTTTATTTCTTGTTGAGACTTAGTTTTTCTACATATTATATACAAATTAGGCCAGTAAATAGGCATTTTCTGGGGCTTGGAACGAATTAATCCAGTTTCCATTACTTCCTATTGGGTTTCATTGCTTCGGTTCTCGAACAATTTGGTTCTCGACCGTCCTCCTGGAACGAATTATGTTCGAGAACCGAGGTATCACTGTATTTACAGGAGAGGCTGTGCATTGATGCAGGCAGCCCATTAGGACCCCAGCCTCCTCTCACACTCTGGGCCACCCCATCACTAAACTCCTTAGACTTTGCTGTGCACCCGAGGGCAGGCACTGGCAGTCAGCATACCCAGCAGGTGCTCTATATGTGAGGCAGTCTGGCTAAGACCCCACATTGAGATGGGGAGACAGAGGTGCTCAGGAGAAGGAAGGAGAGGAAAAGGAGAGCCAAGGACCTGAGCAGCCAAGTCCTTCACCCCATTTCACAGAGGAAGAAACTGAAGTTCAGAGACAGGAAGTGGCTCAGTTGGTGGCTGCCTGCAAGGGGTGCTCTACCTGCACCTTCTCACCCAGTCCTTGTGAGAATCCTGCAAGGCTGGCAGGCTACATTTCAGATGGGGAAATAGCAGTAGCCTACCTCTCTAGTGCTCTGTGTGAGCTTCAAAGGTCACTTCCTCACCAGGCCCTGGCATTCCCTTTGGTAAAAAAGGGGATGCAATGATCTGGTGTTTTACAAACTTTCTTCAGCAGAAGAACCCCACCTCCAAACCAACATTCATCCAGCACCTCTACAAGAAATGGATGAGCACAGGATGGTTCTGGCCAAAAAGGGGACTGGAGAACAAATGACATGGCATCTCTAGCCTCCACAGGAGATGTTTCTGCAGATTCCCTCATCCTCTGAGACCCTCTGCTGGGCAGGCTAGGGAGTGAGGAAATGATAGGGGAAGGGACCAGGATTCAGATAACCCCCCCTCGCCAGCCCTGGCCAAGAGCCAAGGCCAGGTTCAAATAATCAAATCTCTCCTGGGATGTCTGATGGGGTTGAAACCCAACTCCCAACCCCAGTACCCTCAGCTCAAATCTCTGATTCTCTCCCTTCTTTGCTCTCCATGGCTACACCTAAGCTGTCTTTATCAGTTTTTTCCACATCATTGTGCCCACCTCCCCCAGATTCCCTGGCCCCTACTCCTAACCCCCTATAAGCCCCACTCCACATGGGAGCTGGAGTGCACTTTCACACACACAAGCCTCTCTGGCCCACAGAGCCCTCATGGGCTGCCCTTCACCCACCCAGGGCACCAGACCCAGCTCCTTTACTAGGCCTCACCCCACTCACCTCACTGCCTACTCAGCTGCCTAGTCTTCCTCCAGTTCTCTGCACACATGACAGCCCCCTCATAACTCACTATCACCCACTTTTCCACTTTGCTTTCTTCATGGAATACCTTGAGATCATCCCTCCACTTGGCCTCCCATTTATTTGCCCAGGCAACTTTTTTTTTTTTTTTTAAGAGAGAGGAGGAGACTTGGCTGGTTTTGCTCAGCGGTTAGAGTGTCAGCCCATGGACCAAAGAGTCGCGGGTTCAATTCTGGTCCAGGGCATGTACCTCAGTTGCAGTTCGTCCCTGGCCCTGGTCTTGGTTGTGTGGGAGGCAACCAATCGATGTCTCTCTTTCTCACACTGATGTTTCTCTCTCTCTCACTCCCATTCTATCTGAAGATAAATGGAAAAATATCCTTGGGTGAGGATTTAAAAAAAAGAAAGACAAGAAGGGAGAGATAGAAACATCAATGTGAAAGAGAAACATTGATCAGCTGCCCCTACTGGGGATCAGGCCCACAACCTGGGCATGTGCACTGACCGGGATCTCTCAGTCCATGGGACGGTGCTCAAACCATTAAAACACACTGGCTGGGCATGCCCAGGTAACTTTTGTTGTTGTTATTAATCCTCTCCTGAGAATATTTTTCCATTAATTTTTAGATAAACTGGAAGGGAGGGAAGGGGAGAGAGAGAAACATTGATGCAAGCTGCCTCTGGCAGGACCCCAACCAGGCCAGGGATCAGACCTGCAACCCAGGTACACCCACTTGGCCGGAAAACGAACCAGAGACATTTTGGTCTGTGGGCTGACGCTCTAAATGCTGAGCCAAACCAGCCAGGGCTTGCCCAAGTAACTTGACACCTGCCTCCCTGCTAGGATGTGGGATTTTTCAGGACTGGGACCTGCCTTCCCAACCACCACACTCCACCCATACCCAGAAACTAGTGTAAGAGGATGGCCCAGGGAACACAGGACCCCCAGGGATGGGGCGGCAAAGCCAGACATGCCCTGCTTCCAAACTCGGCAGGAGCCAGATGCCAGTTTCAAAAAGTCTTTGTGCTTAAGGGTGCTTGAAAATGGAACCCAACTTTAAAACTGGGCAGATGGGCAAGGGAGGCCTGAAAGGGCAGCTACCTGCCTAGCATCTTCTGGCCAGAAGATTCTCTTCTTCAAAATGACCCCGAAGATACATAGAGAATGGACACTTGTCCTTGGGGGGGGGGGGGGGTCCCATTGTTAGCACAGGCAGAAGAGGCAGAACAAGAGAGGGGGGCAGCAAACCCACATCCAGGGCACCTCTTTAGTGCCCATACATACAAGTCCTTATTCCTGGCCTGGCCCGCAAGGAGTGTCATCATGAGACCTCTCCAGAATGACCCAGCCTCATCTTTATTCTGGCAGCCTGCTAGCCTGTTTCCCACCAAGGCCACTCTAGGAGGCTGGACTTCTTAGGATCCTGCGACTAGGCCATTGGCTATCAGCCATGGAAAGCCTTCCCTCTTGCAGGCACCTTTCCCTGGCAATTGAACAAAACTGCAAGCCACTGGGTGTCTTGGCTATGGGAAGGTCGCAATTCCCAGCACCTTTCAAGTTCTCCCCAGTCCTAAGAGATGGCACTGATACTATATTCGCATTCTTCCGGAAAAGAAAATGAGCCTAGGAGAGGGTCGCCCCTTGCCCACAGCCACAGAGAAGGTAAATGGCAGCGCCAGCTTCAGGCTGCCACCCTGCCCCAGACAGAGCTCCCATTTCTGAGGGCTCCCAGCCCCAACCCGCAGGGTCTGGGAGTTAGGTACTGTCCTCTAACCAGCCCAAGAACACCTATAGTTAGCACACGGCACAGCGCCACGCCCCAAATAAGAGGAGGGGCTTCTAGGCTCCAATACCCAGGGGCCCGCGGAAGAACTGAGACTGGTGGCCAGCCCAGGAGTCCCACGCAGCTGCCCAAAGGACATGTTGCCTCTCTCAAGCTCTTCATGAGGCACGAGGGTCCAGAAAGGCCAGTCTCACCCGCCCTGGAAACTCCCCTGGAAAATGTGGGAAGCAGCGGGGATCGCGATCCTGCGCGCACGCGCGCCCGCAACCTCACTCACCAAGGTTCGACCCCTCAAGTCCCGCTCGAATCTCGCACGCCCCCTCAAATCTCGCATCCTCGAGTCTCACGCGTCCCCGCAAATCTCCCAACCCCTCAAGCCCCTAAGGCTGTCTCACGCCTCTCGCCTCTCGAGTGTCGCGCGCCCCCTGTAATCCCACGCCCCTTCAGTTCTCCGGACCTCTCGTGTTTCGCGCGCCCCATCAAACCTCACGACTTCTTGCGACTCATACTCCGAGTCTCGCCCGCCCCCTCAAATCTCGCGCCCCTCGGGTCTCGCGCTACCCCGCAAGTCTCGCGGTCCCTGGAGCTCACTCGGGCCCCGCACGCCCGGCACCCCGCGCCCACGTGCCCCTAGCAGTGCGTGCCAGCGTTTGGGCCCACGGAAGCCGAGCGGCCGCCGAGCTGCGCCCCCGGTCCCCGACTCACTTCTCTCGGGCCTGGCTGTCGGAGGGCACGGCAGAGCCCTTACCCCCTTTGGCGTACATAATGCTCCGAGCCGGCTGCCGCCGGGGCCCACACCTGTCAGGCGGCGCGGCTGGCCGCGCTCGTCGTCGCCATAGCTACCCCGCGTCCCGGGCCTCACCGCCCCGAGCCCTGCGCGGGCACCGCGGGCATCATCCGCGCGGGGGAGCTCCACACGGCGACGGTGGCAGCTCCAGCTTCAGCCGCGGGTTTATTTTCTTCGTCTCTTCCCACTGTGCGGGCTGTTCCGGGAAGCGCGCGCCCCCTCCTCCTGCCGCGCGAGCGCCCCCGCCCGCCGCCCTCGGGCGCCGCTCTTAAAGGGGCGATGGCGCGCGCGCGGGTGGGTCCCGCCGCTGAAACCTTGGGCTGGGCGCGCACGCGCAGGCCTCCCCCCCTCCCCCCCGCGCGCGTGTGTGTTTCTGTGTGGTGGCGGCCATATACACGCAGGGCACGAGTGGAGATGGCCACCTCGGGATGCACATCGGGCCACGGCTGATCAAGGCTATTCACAAACAGACGCGCCTCAGATAGGACCAGGCACCCAAATTGCACACCGGGAGCACAGCCACACACTCAGTTGCAGATACTGTGTCAAACCCAGCACACATGCAAGTCTGAACAGACCCTGGAACAACTGCTATGGGCAGTCACAGTGGGTGTATCTCTCAGGGTTCCCCACACCCAGCTCACCCAGAACAAGCTGTTACACAGAGGTATACACAGCCCCAATAGTGGCTCTCATAGAACAGCCAGACACAGCCCACTGCTCACATAGGCACACAGCTGCACAGACACTCGCATAGGCACAGCCACGCCACAGCTTCCAACAGCTGGGGAAAGAACCCATGGCAGCTACTCGTGATCACCCTGGGGCACTCACAGCTTTCTGAGAGCTCTGTATGTGGACCTGGGGTCTCACAAAGCCTGTGGACACCCACTGCCACACACAACACAAAGACACACCACATAGACAAGAGCTCCTGCGGTACCCTGGCCAAACCCTGGGAGCCACCGTGTACTGCTTAAGTCACAGGATGTCGAGTTGAGCTTTCCGCATGCCAACCACCCTTGCTTGTGCGGGTGGTTCGAGCCCCGTGGGTGTTCTCCAGCCCTTAAAATAAAAGTCCTAGTCTGTCAACAGTAGGTTCTGAGTGACTGTTGACTGACTGGGTCACCCCAGCTGGCTAGGCCTCAGCCTCAATGTTGCCAACTGTAAATGGGATTCGAACCACCTTTAATTGTCCCTCTGCAGGAATCAAGGGTGCAGACAGTGGGTGCCCCATTCCCCCTCCTGGGGCCCTTCTGCCCCCAGGGGCATGCAGAGGAGATGGGGGTGGACACTGAAACAAGGACACCACAGGGCCAGAGTGCCTGAGCCTGGTGGAGGTGTGGGTGCCATGGTACCTGTGGGCTGTGTTAGCAGACGCATGTGGGCTGGGGGTGGGGGAGATGGTCCAGTTGTGACTCCAGATCTGGATATTTCTATGACTGTTTGCCATGGGTATTTTTTTTCTATGCAACAACCGCGAGTGTGTGTGTTCCTGTTCCTGTGTGAGTGCACCTGTCCACCACTGCGCCTGGGAGGTTGACTGGCCCCCAGTGAGCAGTCCGTGGTCCTGAGGCAGTGTTGTGTGTCCGTGGCGGTGGTTGTGCGGGGCCCAGTGACGCAGCGTCAGATTACGTGCACTCGTGTGTGGGTGTGTGTGTGTGCGCACACACGCGTGCATATGCCTCCGCGCGTGGGTAGATTGGGACCTGTGTTGTGTGGTTGTGCACTCAGGTTTCCTGTGTCATCTGTTTGTCTTTTTTTAATCCTCACCCAAGGGCACTTTTTGATATTTTGTTCAGATAGAAGTGGGAGGGAGAGAGAGAGAAACATCGAGGTGAAAGGGACACATCGAGTGGCTGCCACCTGCAGGACTCATCCAGGGGCGGGGACAAACTGCAACCGAGGTATGTGCCCCTAGCGGGAACCATACCCGGGTCTCTCTGGACCGCAGGCCGATGCTCTAACCGCTGAGCCAAACCGGCCAGGGCCATGTATTTGTCTTGATGAGGACACCCCCTCCCGCTGCCTGCGGAACCTCCATTATGCCTTTTTCTTTGAGGCTGCCCTCCAGTATGGGATTCACACCACCACCACTCAGGCCTGCAGGAAGTTTGGAGCCACTAGGGTTCCAGACTGGCGAAGAGGAAGGGAAGGGCCAGGCCGGCTTCAGCCCCGCCTCCATCCCCAGGGGCCCCGGTCAGGGGAAGGGGGGTACGCCAGCTCTACCCACTTCCTGTCCAACTGGCCATCCCCTCCCCCAGCTTCCTCTCCCGCGGGCCTCCCAGGCCCTGCCGGCGCGGAGGAGGGGCCCGGGCTACGGGTTAATGGGGGGTGGCCAACATTCTTCCGTCTTGCCTGGAGATGGGGACTCTCCAACGCCCGGAGGGCCACCGGAGATCGTAGGCATCAAGGACACCCTCATCCTAATGTCCACTCCTACCACCAATCTCCAGCGTCTGCTCCCAACAAGACGCATAGAGAGGGTGTCGTTCACCCGAGTCACACAGCTATTTTGGCAGCCGGGACTCACGGGCCCGCAGACGCTCCCGTGCCACCCTCAGGCGTTCTCTCCCCTCGTTTATCTCCCAATGCTTGTGGCTCCCCAGGATTCTGTGTTCCCCGGGCAGGTTCCTCGTCTTTTCTGTGCCCTGGGTCCTTGACTCGATGTATCTTCCTCCCCAAACGTTTATTGAGAGCCTGCTGTGTACCGGGCTCTGGGGACTCAGTTGGGACACGTTGTTACTGCTCGGGGAGCAGAAGGTATGATGGGAAAGGAGGATGGTCAAAATCTGGCTAGTTGGTGGGATAATTTCACGGAGTGGCACGTGCTGGGCAGAGGGAGGGGATCTCCAGTGAAGGGAACAGGACGACGGCTGGGTCAGCCCTGCTCCTGGAGGCGGGCGGGAGTGAAGTGCTGTGTTCTCATGGCAACGGGGACGGATCTCCCAACAGAGCCTCCGTGCTCGCAGAAAAGTCCTGGAACAGCCGGCGTAGGGCCCACGCAGCGTCTGGGAAGCTGAGCCGCGTGCACATTCAACCTTGGTGCACACATTGCAAGAGCACTACTTACAGAAAGAGCCCCGCCCGGCGAGGGTGGGCATGGGAGGAAACATTTAATAAGGGGATGAGGGGTGGATTTGAAAGATCTGGAAGCAGAATGTTCAGACTGCAATCACAGCTAGTGCAAAGGCTGAGGTGGTTTTGGGGTTCAGGTGTTGCAGGCAGACAAGGAGGGCAATGTAGCTTCGCTGGAGCCGGGGAAAGAGAAGGCAAGTGATGTCTGGGAGTGCAGAGGTGCCGGACCACACGGCGGAGACGGGTTGGAATTTGTTCTAAAATAACAGGGAGCCACGGGAAGCTGTGGAGCCCCTAGGGGCAGGACCAGTGTCCGAGTTTTAAGAAGCTCCATGGGGCAGCGGGCTAGATTGGGAAGATTTGGAGGAATGCAGGAGGTTGCCCCGGGAAGAGGCCCGGGTAGACTAGGGGCCATGGACCAGGTCAGGGGCCTAGGAGGGAGGTCATAACCGAGGTGAAGGGTCAAGGGTGGATCCCAGACCTGCGACTCCTTCGCCGGCTCCGGGCTACCCCCTTGTGGCAGCGCGAGGGGACTGCAGCCCTGAGCTGGGTTTCCGTCTCTAGGGACTGTCGACGACCCCCAAACCCCACTGCGCGGGGTTCGGGCCAGTGCTTTGGGGGACGAAGAAGGTTCTGCTTGTGGGGTATGGGGGCTGCCTGGAGGAGGGGCCGCCCCTCCTCTCATTCACTCCCTTCCAGCCCTTCCATTCTCAAGGGTCCACCTCCTGGTCTTTGCACTGGCTGCTCCAGCCGCCTGGAGCGCTCTTTCTCTGGCTCCAACTTGGCCAGTTCTGGCTCCTCATCTGGTCTTTGGCCCAGCAGTTCCCTTTTCTTCGCCCCCTTCCCCCTCCTCCTCGACTTCCCTGGCCACATTCCCTATATTACCGGTTCTACACTAGCCTGGATCGGACTTGTCACTGTTAAAATAATGCCTCAAATAGTCTGTTGGCAGCTCTGCCTCTCTCTATGGATCCGCCCTCCCTGAGTACCCAGATGTCGGAGCGTAAATATGTTGCAAGAATCGTTGGGAAGGCTGGTTCTGGTTTTGCTGGTAACGTTTTTTCCTCTCCACAGGAGATGGAAGCAGCCCCCTTCTCATTAAAGTGGAAGGGGCCAGGATCTGGGCTGGTGGCCCCTGCAGCCCTCCCCAGCCATGCATTGGAGGGGGCCACAGCTGGGAGCAGAGTCTGCACAAGGAGATGTTTCCTCTCAGAGCTGTAATTATGGGTAATTCTCTAACTGCAACATAAAAATTAAAACCCAAACAACACCGGGAAGGGAGAAGCAGCTGGTGAGCACGGGTGGGGGATGGAGGTGCTTGGGCACTGGGTAGGGATTCCAGCCTGGACAGAGTGGGGGCGGGGCTCCCAGCCCAGGGGTGCTGGGGCTGGTGGGGACAGGCAGAGGATTGTTCAGGTAGACTCCTTGGAAAGCCAACAACCACTTGGAGTCTCAGATTTCTGAGGTTAGGATTATACCCCAAGAACTGGTCACCTGGAGGCAGAAATCCCCAATGGATGATCTGGGTCTGGGTTTGAACCCTGGCTGTGTCCTGTCCTGCTGTGTGGCCTTGAGCTGGAGCTGCTTAACCTCAGCCCAGCCCTGTCAGTCCTTCACAAAGCTCAACCCAAGCCAATACATTGTCCTGCTTCCAGCACCTTTTGTGGTTCCCACTGCCCACAAATTAAGTCCCTGCCCCTCTGCCCTGCACTTGAACTTTAGAGTCAAACCAACCATTAGGAACCTGTGCACCCAGCATCTCATGAAAGAGGTAGCATTTCTCTTCCCTGGGTTACAGATAAAGAAACTGAGGTTCAGAGAGGCACCAAGGAAGTCACGTGGGCAACCCAGAAGCAGCACTCCACCCACTGAAGTGTCCCCAGCTCCCTGCCTGGGACACTCACTCTGGGAAATTGGAGGCATTTTTGTGGGAACCTCAAGCCTGAACTGAAGGGAGATACGGAGGTGAGGGAGTCTATAGCAACTGCCTACAAAGTTCTACAGGTAAAACAGGCTCTGAACAGGGAAGCAACTTGCCCCAGGATGCACAGCAGAGTGGAGGTACCAGGTCCCACTTCCCAGTGCACTGGCAGTGCTCCTCCCTCACCTTCTCTCTCCAGAGCCATGGCCTCTCTTGTGGTGGAGGAACGCGTTTCCATGGCACACTAAGGTCGCATTCTCCCTGTGTGGTACAGGAGGAGAAATCTTTTCTACTCCCTTTTCTGTTGTTGTTAATCCTCACCAGAGAATATTTTTTTCCAATGATTTTTAGAGAGAGTAGGAGGGAGGGAGGGAAAGAGAGAGAGAGAGAAACATCAATGTGAGAGAGACACATCTATCGTTTGCCTCCTGCATGCTTGCCACCTGGGGATCAAACCTGCAACCCTTGCCCTGCCAGTGTGGTGTGACTCGGTGGTTGAGCGATGGCCTATGCACCAGGAGTTCACAAGTTTGATTCCCAGTCAGGGCACATGCCCAGGTTGTGGGCCAAATCCCCAGGAGGGAGCATGCAGGAGGCGGCCAGTTGATGTTCTCTCTCACCAAAATTTCTATGTCTCTCTCCCTCTCCCTTCCTCTCTCTCTCAAATCAATAAAGAAAAAAAATTTATTAGAAAACAAACAAACAAAACAAAACCTGCAACCCAGGTACGTGCCCTTGACCAGGAATTGAACCTTCGACCCTTTGGTCTGCAGGCCAAGCTCTAACCACTGAACAAAACCAGCCAGGGCTTCTGCCCCTTTTAAGTTCCCTCCGTTTAACAACAATGGGGAGTAGATGCTTGCTAAGCATCAGAAACTAGGCATTTTTTGTCCATGATCTTGTTGCGTGCACCCAGCTCATTCCCACACCAGGGCCTTTGCACAGGCTGCTCAGGACATCCTTCCCCAGCCCTTTCCCATGTCATGCTTCTCCTCCTCCTTCAGGCCTCAGCTCCAGCGATGTCTCCTCAGAGGCCCTCCAATGTCCTGGGTCACATGTGCCCTGTTGAGATTTTCCTGAAAATCTTGTTTTTGCATGTTGATTGTTCATGTTCCCAGTAATCCATGAGTTTCATGAGCAGAGAATTCTAATGTTTTGTTCAACGTTGTGTTCCTAGCCCTGAGAGCAAGGCTTGGCACAGTAGGCCACTCAATAAATACCTGTTGCTGAACTAAAAATTACAAATGTCCCCTCTGTGCTGAGGTCTGAGACCTCCAGCTCAGAGAGCTCAGTCTAAGGGCCACACAGACTGTCACCTCTCTCTTGTGGCCAAGGTGGGGTGTGGGGGTCAGGAGGAACCAATTTACCTCTGCCAAAGCCACCTACACCTGCAATCCTGAGTATGACCACACGAGGAAAGCAGAGACTCACAGATCCAACTCCTGAGGGTCTCAGGCGGCCCCACCCTGGGGCACCTTTGGAACAGCTCTTGAGATAGAGTTTCAGGCTTGGAATCCAGTAGGCTTCTTTGACTTTGCCTATTCCTCCGAGTGGGCTTCCAAATATGTTTAAGTACTTAGGAATTGAGTAAATGCATAGCAACAAAAAACAACAACAACAAAAAACAAACAAATCACCCAGTTCTCCCACCACCACCCCAAAAATCCTTGTTCCCATTTTGAACTCTTACCTTCTTACCTGTGTTGGGAATACTCTCTGGTGGTGTCGTGAGAAGGAAACAGAAACTCAAAAATGGCTTGGTAAGGCTAACTACTTCTGCAGAAGGGCGCCTGACTGAAAAAAAGAATCTGGTAAGTCTGCTCCGTTTTTATCCCTGACACTTGCTGCACCTTACACTGATTGGATGGAGTGTGGTTTCAGTCTGGTGCCATTGGCTAATTCAAGTGGAGCGGCACCGTTGGGGAGAGGTTGTATTTGAGGTTATTTTGGGATAGTGGGACCAGAAATCTCGAAAAAATGGTAACCTACTTGGAAATGGAGTGGCTTCAGCCACACCTATCTGGTAGAAAATATTTTATTTGTCTCACAATTTCCCCCTTTTGACACACTCTTGTTCTTTTCTTCAGACTCAGCAAACATAAGGTGTTCTGATGTTTCTAATAGTAGGAGGTTGCTCTGATAGGTTACTGGAGACTGTTTAGTAAGGGCTGTCTCTATTAGTCTCTGTAGGAGACCCCTAACGCAAGGAATTTTGCAACACTTTACTAGGGTCGTTACTCCAAATACAATAAAAGAGGTTAGGACTGAGATCATTATTCCTTTACATTTTCCAAACTATTGTTCCATTAGATTAGACAAGGGATCCCTGAGTTGTCTGCTAACTCATTAGCTAAAGTGGTTAGACCCTGTAAGGCTCTAGTTATAGTGCCATCAGGCACACAGTACAGCACTGGCCTTCTATCATGATACACACTCCTCCTTTCTCTGCTAGAATCATATCTAACGTTAGTCGGTTCTCCCAGGCCATCTGGCTGGTGGCATCTAACTGTACTGCCATTCCCTTGATAGCATCCCTGGTGTAGTTAACAAATCTCTGCTGATTGTAGTAAATGTAGTTTATCCAATCTACATTTTTATTGATGGTGGACCACCAGAACAGCACTAACTCAAACCCTGCTGCTATTTGGTTTCTAGCCTTGAACTCATTAGGAATGCCTCTGGGAACTCCAACGGATTCAATGTATATATAGGGAACAAATGACCCACTTTGGGCACGGACATCCCTCCTGGCTTTGTGTTGAGTTGGTGTCAGAGATGGGTCAGGGTTCCGAAATGCCAGAGTGAAGGGGATAGCCAATTGAACCAAAGTGCAAATTCCACTCCAATTGTCCAGTAGTCTCAAGCAGCAGCCCTCCACAGTACCACCAGACATCTGCTCAGGCTACAGTCAGTTCGGACTGATTGCTTATTTCCTCATAGGACCGGCTTTCACTGCACCAGAATACATTGCCCAAGAATGCTAACTGTTCCCCCCATCTGGAGAGGTACAAGGTATAATTAACATCATGGGACAGGTGTCTGACAGTCTTCGGAGCCTTATGTCTATGACCCTTTATAGCCAGGAATAACTGCAACAAGGTCCTGCAAGATTCATTGCTTCAGGCCATACTGTCCTAAAAGAGGACTATCATGCATTCCATGCCTTCAGAGTCTGCGGTCCACCCGAGTGGAAATGGTACCACTTGAACCTTTGGCCTACCTGCTGCACAAGCATAACAGTCACTTTTTTTTCATTGATTTTTATGTTTTTTATTATTTTTTATCCTCACCTGAGGACATTTTTGCATTTCAGATAGAGCGGGAGGGAGAGAGAGAAAGAGAGAGAGAAACATCGATGTGAGAGAGAAACATCGACTGCTTGCCACCCACATAACCCCAACCAGGGCCGGGGACAAACTGCAACCAAGGTACGTGCTCTTAGCGGGGACCGAACCCGGGTCTCTCTGGACCGCAGGCCGACGCTCTAACTGCTGAGCCAAACCGGCCAGGGCAATTTTCTCTATTGATTTTTAGAGAGGAAGGGAGAGGGAGAGAGAGATAGAAACATCGAAGAGAGAGAACATTGATTGGCCGCCTTCTGCATGTCCCCACTGGGTATTGGGCCCACAACCTGGGCATGTACCCTGACCGGGAATTGAACCAGCAACCTCTTGGTGCATGGGTTGACGCCAACCACTCAGCAACACCGGCCGGGCATAACAGTCACTCTGATTCAAAGCATGGACAGAATACTTAATCCAGCAGTTCTCAACCTGTGAATCGTGACCCCTTTGGGGGTCGAACGACCCTTTCACAGGGGTCACCTAAGACCATCGGAAAACACGTATTTCCAATGGTCTTAGGAACCTAGACACTGCTCCTCTATCCACTTCCAGGCGGGTCTGCCCAGATGCAGATATGGCCACATACAACATGAGGAACTGTATTAAAGTGTTGAGACATTAGGAAGGTTGAGAACCACTGACTGAATCCATTCCAGCCACTGACTGGTTTAGCTCAGTGGTTGGAGCATCGGCCTGTGGACCAGAGAGTCCCGGGTTCGGTTCCCACTAGGGGTATGTACAAAAAAAAAGAATGTTCAAACTTATGCCCTGGCTGGTTTGGCTCAGAGGTTAGAGCGTCGGCCTGAGGTCCAGAGAGACCCGGGTTCGGTTCCCACTAAGGGCATGTACCTCGGTTGCAGTTTGTCCCTGGCCCTGGTTGGTTGTGCGGGTGGCAGCTACTCAATGTGTCACTTTCACGTTCATGTTTCTCTCTCTCTCTCTCTCCCTCCCCCCTTCCCACTCTATCTGAACAAAAAATGGAAAAATGTCCTCAGATGAGGAAAAAAAAAACTCTTGAATCCATCCATCCAGGCACTTGTATCCCCATATCCAGTCTCAATTTCTAAGGTTTGGTGTAAATCCTTTACCTCTAGTCTGGTCAGGGTCTTGAGTTGGAACTCCTGCACTCGGAGAGGGTGTAGGGGTGGGAATGTTAGTAGGAGTTTGGCTAGCAGTTAAGTTCAATCTAAATGTACCTATGGGGTCCCTGCCAGTCACATCTGCACCTAGTGCATATCCTCTTAATATTGAGGGCTCCTGACTCATGGTCTGGGGGTTATCTATAACTAAAAGTAGGGGGTTGCATTGAAGGTTCTTGCAATTTGGAGGAGGAGTTCCTCTTATTATGTGGATTTTGTTGGGTAGTGCCGACCCCTTAGCGGCAGGTGCAGTCCAACCATTGTATTGAGTTGTCCACCAGACGTCTATCCAATGCTGACAGGGGCCAGAGAAAACAGGGTCAGTGAGACTGGGGTGTGGGCACATATAGATTCCCTCACCTTGTAATTGCCTCTGGGAGTTCAAATTTCCACACGGTAAAACTACACATGCATCAAACTTAATGGTTACAGGAGAGGTACTCTGAGTTACATTGATGGTAAAAATACAATTTACTCCCCCTAACAGGGCTGTAAGTATGATCAGAGTCTTTTCAGGGTTCATTTTGTGGTGTCGGGGTCTGGGATCACAGCCCATTGTTCCTCTTGGTCAGGAGATGGAGCTCCCTTAACTCGAGTGTAATAAGTCCAACCTTTCTCTGTGGTGTGAACAGCTGTTTCAGTCGCAAGCAGCACCTGATAAGGTCCTTCCCAAGCTGGCTCAACTTTGTCTTCCTTCCATGTCTTTACCAGGACGTGGACACCAGGTTGATGAGGGTGTACCAGAAATTCAAGAGGTGGGGTCTGAGCCAATAGTCCCTGAAACTGAGAGAAAGCAGAGTAGAGGAGAGGCCAACTATATGGTTTCTGAGAAATTGTTCCTGCCCTGGGCAGTTTTGCTCAGCAGTTAGAGCATTGGCCTGCGGTCCCGAGACCCGGGTATGGTTCCCACTAAAGGCATGTACCTTGGTTGCAGTTTGTCCCCGGCCCTGGTTGGGTTGTGCGGGAGGCAGCCACTTGATGTGTCCCTTTCATGTCAATGTTTCTCTCTTCCTCTCTCTCCCTCTTGCTCTATCTGAACAAAAAAAATTGGAAAAATGTCCTCGGGTGAAGGAAAAAAAAAAGAAAAGAAATTGGTCCTTAGTTTCCATGGTTGGTCAGTCAGCAGTTTGACCTAAATATGGTAACCCATAAAGCATCTCATATGGGGATAACCCCATATCCTTGAAGGGGGCGGGGGCAGTCCTAATTCTGAGAAGAGTGATCAGGAGGCACTTGTCCAGGGAATCTTGGTTTCTAATATCAACTTAATTATATGTCTCTTCAGTGTTTGGTTCATCCTTTCTACCTTACCCAAGGAAGGAGGGTGCCAAGTTGTGTGATATTCCCAAGCTTTTCATAAGTTCTCCAACAACAGTAGCAGTAAAATGACTCCTGTTGTCTGAATTTACGTTTTCAACTAATCCAAACTGGGGAATTATGGCCTCTAACAGCAGCTTGGTTACGTTACTGGCTGTAGCACTTGGCGACAGAATAGCTTCAACCCAATTAGTTACATGATCCACTATTACTAAGAGGTATTTGAGGCAACCAATTTTAGGCATTTCAGTATAGTCAACCTGGATACTCTGGAACAGTCTCAGACCTGGGTTCCTTCCCCCTGAAGGCTGCTTTCTCAATTCTTGCTTATTCACTCTTTTACAGGTAATACAACTTTCATTCACTTGCTTAGTTATAGCATCACACATGGCTTTTGGGCCCCAACAGCTTCCTCTGGGCAACTAAGTTAACAGTTCCCTCATAATAAGTCTTGAGAGCATCTCTCTTCCGTCAGGTTAGAGCCACTTTCCTTCAGAAATTTTGGAGGCTCCTATCTTGGCTGATTGTTCCACCTCCTGGGGGTTAAAAACTGGGGTGACAGGAGGAGGAGGAAGGATGGGGGTGAGATGAAAAATCATTCAGGGCCTCTGACTTGAGGGCTGCATCCTTAGCAGCCTCATCTGCCAGTCTGTTTCCCTGGGCTTCCATAGAGTAACACTTTTGGTGTCCAGGTACATGTACTACAGCTATTTTTTCTGGTGACATTAAGCTCTCTAGCACCTGGGTGATTAATTCTTTATGTACTAGATTCTGTCCCTTGCTATTAACAAGACCACGTTCAGTCCAGATTTTCCCAAAAGTATGTACTACCCCAAAGGCATATTTAGAGTCTGTATAGATGGTCCCTTCTTTCCCCTTCAAGAATTTTAAGGCTTGGTTGAGGGCAAATAATTCACATGTCTGGGCAGACCAACTATTGGGTAATCTCCCTGATTCAGTAACTGTGGATCGTTCCCCATCTACAGTAGAGTACCCATTGTGTCTTTTTCCTTCAACTACTCGGGAGGAGCATAAAGAGTCTAAACCCTGTTAAGAAAGGGGTCTCACCCTGGCCGGTTGTGCTCAGCGGTTAGAGCGTCGGGCCTGTGGTCAGAGAGACCCGGGTTCGGTTCTGCTAAGGGCACGTACCTCGGTTGCAGTTTGTCCCCGGCCCTGGTCAGTTGTGCGGGTGGCAGCCACTCAATGTGTTCCTTTCACGTCAATGTTTCTCTCTCTCTCTTCCTCTCTCTCCCTCCCACTCTACCTGAACAAAAAATGGAAAAATGCCCTCGGGTGAGGATAAAAAAAAAAAAAGAAAGAAAGGGGTCTCCGTCTGGCTGGTGTGGCTCAGTGGTTGAGCATCGACCCATGCACCAAGAGGTCGCCAGTTCGATCCCCGGTCAGGACACATGCCCAGGTTGTGGGCCTGATCCCCAGTGGGGGGCATGCAGACGGCCAATTGATATTCTCTCTTATCGATGTTTCTCTCTCTCTCTCCCTCTCACTTCCTCTCTCTCTCTAAAATCAATAAAGGAAAAAATTTAAAGAAAGAGAGAGAGAGAGAAAGAGAGAGTTCTCCTTGCCCTGGCCGGTTTGGCTCAGCAGTTGGAGCGTCGGGCCGCGGACCAGAGAGTCCGGGGTTGGGTTCCCACTAAGGGCATGTACCTTGGTTGCAGTTTGTCCCCCTGCCCCAGCTGGGATTGTGTGGGTGGCAACCAGTCCATGTGTCTCTCTCACACCAATGTTTCTCTCTCTCTCTTCCCCCTTCTCTCCCTCCTACTCTATCTGAAGATAAATGCAAAAAGTGTCCTCAGGTGAGGATAAAAAAAATAATAAATAAATAAAGGGGTCTCCTTGAGATCAGGTCTAACTTCAGTCTGGTAATCTATGAGACCCATACAGTGGTGTTCTATAGGACCCTGTGTCTCACACCATGTTAAAAATTCAGCTGGTTTAAATAGTTGTCAGTAGTGAGGACTAGATCATCTCTTTCTAATAGGATGGCTTCATACTTCAGGATCCTGGAATCAGTCAGCCACCTCCCTACTTTCTGATGAAGGACTGCCCTGACTTGATGCTGAATGCTGACAATCAATGCCCCTCCGAATGTCAGCTGTCTACTCTCTTCAGTTAATATGGCTGTTGCTGCTACTGATTGAATACATTCAGGCCAACCACTAGTGACTAGGTCTAGTAGCTTAGGTAAGTAAGCAACTGGCTGTCTTTCACCTCCATGTTCCTAGGTCAAAACTCCTACTGAAGTTCCCTTATTCACATTAACATACAAGTAGAATGGCTTTTCTAATGAGGGTAGTGCCAGCACTGGGGCAGTGATAAGGGCTTGTTTGAGGGTATCTACTGACTGTATCTCCTCGGGCTTCCATCTAACAGTTTGAGATATAGATCCTTAGTTTTGAGTGCACAGGAGTCTATCCACAACCTACATTATCCAATTAATCCTAAAAACTTCCTGAGTTCCTTTAAAGGTGGGAACATGGAAACCTTCCCCTTGACCCCTGAAACTAACAAGTGCTCATTGGACAGATGTAAATGAGTAGGGTGATATGTTAGAGAGGAACAGGCCACACAGGAATGGATCAGGAATGTAATGTCCTCCCTTTTGGATCTTACCTCTAAATTTATCAAGGGCTCTTGGTAGGGCTCCCTCAATATAAAAGAGCTCCTAACCCCCCTATTCCTCATCGAAGGTCATGAGAGGTATTACTTTCCCCTCTCTTTTCAGCTCAGAACATTCCCTCTTAAAATGCCCTTCCTTTCTACTTCTGTAGCACTTATTTTTACCTTTGGTGGCCCTTGGATCCCCCATTCTTTAGGGTACCCCCATTAAGGTGGCCTTTGTTTTTGGTTCTTCGAGCCGGCCCTTCCTTGGTTCACCTGTTCTATAGTGATAAACATGATCCCAGCCTTCTGTTTCTGTTTTTCTTCATCCCTCTGTACATACACATTCTGGGCTTCTCCCAATAACTCTTCTAAATTTCTATCTTTCCAATTATCTAATTTCTGTAATTTCTTAGAAATATCCAGCCAACTATTAGTGACAAAATGCAGTTTTAGCATACTCTGGCTGAGAGGGTCATCTAAATTCAGTTCAGAGTACTTCCTCTTTTAGCCTATTCAGAAATTCAGCTGGCCCTTCATCTTTCCCGTTGTATGTCGAAGGCCTCAGCAATATTTTGAGATTGGGGAACTGACTCTCTTATCCCGTTTATAATCAGGTCCCTGAAATCTCTCATATGGCCCCCATGGGCTTCGTTGTTATTATCCCACTAGGGTTCTTTTTTTGTCCTCACCTGAGGACATTTTACCATTTCTTGTTCAGATACAGTGGGAGGGAGGGAGAGAGAGAGGGAGGGAGAGGGAGAGGGAGAGGGAGAGAGGGAGGTGGGGAGAGAGAGAGAGAGAGAGAGAAACATCTGTGTGAAAGGGACACATCGAGTGGCTGCCACCCGCATGACTAACCAGGGCCGGGGACAAACTACAACCAAGGTACGTGCCCTTAGCGGGAACCAAACCCGGGTCTCTCTGGACCGCCGGCCAACGCTCTAACCGCTGAGCCAAACCGGCCAGGGCCCCACTAGGGTTCTTGATTAGGGAATTCCACATCTGCAGACTGGACAATAGGGCCCGCCCAGTGTTCTCACTCCCGATCATTGCTCTTTCCTCCCCAGAAAACAGGATGCCCAAAATAGATATAAGTTTGACCCATGTGAAAATTGATTTAATTGGGCCTAAAAATTGATCTAGTTGGTCTGCAACTCCATGGGGAATCTTCTAATAGGGGTTTCAGTTCCTTCTTCAAATTTCGAAACTCAGAACTAGTAAGGTGGGGCATTCACAAATCCAATTCCTCCCCCTCACAGGGGAAGTTCCTGAGGGGGTAGAGGGCCTGAGGTCTCTCTCTTTCTGAGGGGAAGGGTAAATTCTGAACGTCCTTTTTGCATTGTTCTATATTTTTCTTCAGTGGGGGAAGGGAGGGATATAGTGATGGGGGGGGGGTTGCTGAGGCCACTGCAGCCAATTTGGGACTCCCTCTCTTCTATTCTTACTTCCCCTTCCCCTTCCCCTTCCCCAACTTCCTGAGGTGGACCAGGTTGTGGATTCCCTGTGTTATAAGGAGGAGGTGAACAGTTGAGAAGATCCCACTTATTATTTTCTTTTTCCTTATTTTTGCCCATTTCCACCTTTAAAGGGAACAAGAGTACTGGTCCCTTTCTCCAACAAAGAACATATAATCTATTTCTTCTAGGGCAGCTGGACTCGTGTGATTTTTTTTTTTTTTTTAATCCTCACCAGAGGATATTTTTCTGTTTATTATCAGATAGAGTGGGAGGGAGGGAGGGAGAGACAGAGAGAGAAACATCGATGTGACCCATGGACTGGTTGCCTCCTGCACCACCTGACCAGGGCAGGGGATGAAGCAACTGAGGTACCTGCCCTTGGCCAGAATCAAACCTGAGACTCATTGGTCCAGGGGGCCAAGGCTCTGTAACTGCTGAGCCAAATCGGCCAGGGCTGGACTGTTGTCATTAACATATGCTATTAGTAACTGACAAATCCATTCTTCATTGGACCCAAACTTAGACCAAAATACTGATGTTTTAGTACAGGTTCTCATGTCCAGAGGAAACAATATTTTATAATCTGTTTCTTTTTTCATTTTGTCCTAGGATTATCTCCCCATGCACCCTAGAGGACTGTCTGAGGAAATCTTCTTACTGGTCTGTTCTCCCTTAGAACACTCTTGTCTAAGGAATAATTCTTACTACCCATCCCTATTGTCCGGTTGTGTTCTTGACTAGAGACTCAACCCCCCTCTTTTCTTGGAGGTTTCTTGAACTCTCCCAGGTCGCTTCATCCGTCTCCGACGATTTCCCTCGGGGGAGAAGTAACCAGTAAGAGGTGCTTCTTAGCTACTGCGGGTATAAACCCCCGACTAGGTCCGAAAGGACTGCCTTATGCCATATGAAGTCACCAGGGGATACTAACGGAGCCGCGGATCAGGACTCCACACTCACTTCTGTCCAGGACACCCTCATCCACATACACACAACCTCCGGGATAACCCGACCACCAAGGAAATACTGTGTCACTTTTTGTGGCGTTTTTAACTTTGGTGGGTGCGCCAGTTACCTGTTCGCCGCCGTGCTTGCCTGAGCCCTTCCCCTGCGTTGCTGATCAACTTCCGGTTCTGAGTCCACAGTCAGCCTAGGGGTCTCAGAAGCCCCTCTCCGAGGCCACCGTAAGGCGGCAGCGGGGCGCTTTTCTTCCGAGCCGGGTTCTTACGGTCCCACGGTCCCTCCAGGTGACCGTGTGACCGTGTGACCGTAAGACCGTAAGACCCTGAATGAGCCCTAAATTGTTGCAAATACTCTCCGGTGGTGTCGCGAGAACGAAACAGAAACCCAGACGCTTGCTGTGCCTTATTCGGATTGGCTGACGGTGGTTTCACAATCCGCCGGATTGGCTAATTCAAATGGAGCCTGGTTGGTGGTATTGAAGCATTTCGGGGTAGTGGGACCATAAATCTCACAAAATGGTGACTTACTTTGAACTGGAGTGGCTTCACTCACACCTAATTTCTTGGTAGAAAAAAAATCTATTTTTTCTTACACCTGCAAATCTTTTTGTTTTGTTTTTCCTTTTTTGTCCTTCCCCCCCCCCAAAGAAGCCTTCCTTGAATAACCCTCAAAACTTTCAACTGCCCCATCTAGTTGTCAGAATGCATCACTCAGTGTTTTTTGTTTGTTTGTTTTTTCTAAATAGCGTTATTTTTCTAACCTTTGAATTTGCTAGTTTACAGTACAACATCTCCCTCACTGGAATGTCAGCTCCTCAAGGGCAGGAATTTTGCCGCATGCATCCAGGAGGTGCTCAGTATATATTTGTGGAACGAAAAAAAGTCTTACCAAAAATAAAATGAATAAAACCTAGAAAACAAAGCTAAATACCCTTATTAGCCCCCATCCCCAGGCAGAGGCATCAACAGCACCCCAGAGAGTCATCAAGTGCACCCTTCGAGGTTGACGCAGACAAATGTGGCTTATTAATGAGCAGTGTATAGCCTAAGGGTCAACACACGGATTCAGGGCTGCCCCTCAGCAATCGTAAAGCCTCCATTTCCCCGCTGTAAAATGGAGGGCAGTGACAGTTCCAATTTCAAGGGGCTGTTGTGAAGATTACACCACTTAATACTAATTAAGTAGCCAGTGCTTGGATGCTGCTATTTATAACTAAATATAATAATTATATATTATAATAAACATTTATCTATAAATATTTGATTATATACTTATGTTAATAGTTATATATTTATATATAATAAACAAAGTGTTTTAAAAATCTAACTTCTGTATAGCATTCCTTATTTTAAATCACAAGATAAATGATTGTTCATTTGTTTCCTGCTCCACTCCCTCCCTTTTGACAACCATCAACTTGTTCTCTATAGCTATAGTTCTGTTTCTGTTTTGTTTATTCATTTATTATGTTTTTATAGATTCTACATATAAGCCCTGGCCAGGTAACTCAGTTAGAACATCATCCTGACACACCAAGAGTGCAGGTTCAATCCCAGGTCAGGGCACCAAAAAAAAAAAAAAAAAAATGGCCCTGGCCAGTGTGGCTCAGTAGTTAGAGCACCAGCCTGAGCACCAAAGGTCTTGGATTCGCTTTCCGTTCAAGGGCACTGTACCTGAGTTGCAGGTTCAATCCCCAGCCCCACTTGGGGCATGAGTGGGAGACAACCAATAGATGTCTCTCTCTCTCCCCCTACCTCTCCCTCCCTCCCACTCTCTCTAAAATTCAATGGAAAAATATCCTAGGGTGAGAATTAACATATTAAGGTGTCCAACTTGATGTTTGATATACACTGTGAGATAATAATTACATTCAAGTTAATGTACATATTCATTGCTTAGATTCCACATATAAGTGGGACCAGATGGTATTCCTCTATAGCACTTCACCTATCTTAACTTGGGGTCCCCAAGAAGCAGCCCCTATGACTGGAATTCAAGAGCAAAATTATTTGAGAGGTCTCTCCAAGAAGCCCTGGTCTCAGTGAGGAGAAAAGGCACCCAACAGAGGATTTCGGTGACTGGGCTCCCCGGAGACTGGGGAGCCCCCCAGAAAGACAGTGTAGCGCATGTGCCTCAGAGATGCTCTACCAAAAGGACAAAGAGCTGGGGTGTTTATAATAAACTTTTCTTCCATCTGTGTTTCAGGGCTACTCCTAGGAGAGCCCCGTGGGCCAGCAGCATGGCCTCTCATGCCCAGTGCAACGAAATGCCATCTGGCAGGTGGAACGTGCTTGCTAACCACAGTCACCTCAATGCCACATTTTGTTTGCCCACCCTACTCCCAAAGGTATTCAGTGGCTTCTCAGATTTTACTATAACCAACAAAACCACGTGACCTCAAATAAGGTTTTTCTGCATCATTAAAAATCAAGGTTTAGAGGACAGCCCTGCCAGTAGGGAAACATGTCGAATTTCTCCAGGGCACCCCAGGTGAGCTCGGACTCTGTTGCCTGATGGGATTCCATTAGACTGGCAGAAGGAGCAATGGGCCACTTTTGCTCGAGTTTGGTATCTCTTAGATGGGAAAATGCAGCCCCCTGGCAAAATTGCTGCTATGGCATCGATTAAACTTCAAGGATTGCATAAACTTGTGTAGCATGAGCTGAGTGACTGTGGTGATCATGTTGTCATCATGAACACAAGGCACATTGAATTTTCTGGAAATAAATGGGAACAAAAAGTGTACTCTTCACATACTGGTTACCCGGGTGGATTCAGACAAGTAACAGCTGCTCAGCTTCACCGGAAGGATCCAGTGGCAATTGTGAAACTAGCTATTTATGGCATGCTACCAAAAAACCTTCACAGGAGGACTATGATGCAGCGGTTACATCTTTTCCCAGATGAGGATATACCAGAAGATATTCTTAAGAATTTAGTGGAAGAGCTTCCCCAACCACGAAAAGTACCCAAACGTCTAGATGAATACACACAAGAAGAAACAGAGGCTTTCCCCAGAGTGTGGTCTCCACCTGAAGATTACCGGCTGTAGAAGAATGGAAATTGGAGACAGCCCCAATGAGGTGATTAAAACATCTTCCTGATCAGTTTCCCCCAGCCTGCGGGCCGAGGGCAACCCCGCTGCACTGGGCTGGAAGCTCATTATGGGTGCTGAGAGTTTGTGGAGAAAGGTCAGGAAGGGATCTTCCTTCAACAGGAAATTGCAATAAAATACACTATTTTATGGGAAAAAAAATATCAATGTTTAGCCCGGCTGGTATGGCTCAGTGGTTGAGTGTCAACCCATGCACCAGGAGGTCGCCGGTTTGATTCCTGGTCAGGGCACATACACAGGTTGTGGGCCCAATCCCCAGTGGGGGGCATGCAGGAGGTGGCCAATCGATGTTCTCTCTCATCAATGTTTCTCCCTCTCTCTCCCTCTTTCTTTCTCCCTAAAATCAATAAAGAAAAAAAAATCAAGATTTAGCCCTGGCTGGTTTGGCTCAGTGGTTGGAATGTCGGCCTGCATACCAAAGAGTCACAGGTTCAATTCCAGCCAAGGGCACATACCTCGGTTGTGGTTTGTGCTAGACCCCTCTGGGGCCATGAGGGTGGCGACCAATGATGTGTCTCACATGGATGTTTCTCTCTCTCTCTCTCTCTTCCTCCCACTGTGTCTGAAGATAAATGTAAAAATATCCTCGGGTGAGGATTAAAATCTGCAGGTGGTTAGAGAGTAACCCCAAGCACAGAAGGGTTGCAGGTTCAATCTGCAGGTTTAATCCTCAGCCCTGCTCAGGGCATGTTCAGGAGGAAACCCTTCGATGTGTCTCATATCAATGTATCTCTTTCTCTCTCCCCTCCCCCTTCCACTCTCTCTAAAAATCAATGGAAAAAAATATCCTTGGGTGAGGATTAATAACAACAACAACAAAATCAAGGTTTACCTTCTGAATTCGATTTTCTGTGCTTTTGTGGACCATCATTTACTCCATGGGACACTCAGCTGATGTATTATTAGTCACTCGTGTTCCCAGCGCCAGGCTCATGCTCACATTCATGTCTGCCTCCCAACCTTTCACAGCCACCCTACATGGGGGTTGTTACTATCTTCATTTTAAGAAGAGAAAGCCAGCTGAGACACAGGGATATTAAGGTACTGGCCAAAGGTCACACAGCAGTCAAGTGGCCAAGCGGACCTCAGCCATATTTGCTGAATGAATGCATAGAGGTCTGTGGTCACCCATGTTTCAGCTTTACCCCTAGTCAGCTTCACGGTTCCAGTCCAGCCCTTGGTCTTCACACCTGTCTTCTGTCCAGCTTGCTGGCTCCAGAGCCCCGAAGATGCCTGAAGATCCTGAAGATCCCCAGGCCCCCTAAATGGCCTCTGCTACTGTTGTGTCAGGCTGCCCCCTCCCCTTCCTTAGGAGAGACTAGACTCCAAAGGAAGGGTGGGGCTTCAAATACCCTCAAGAGAGAATGAGATGGCAGGAAGCCAGGAAGGAGACTGGGCCAGAAAGTCTAGGGGTTCCTGGGGACAGGGCCCAGGCTGAGGCCTAACGCAGTTCGGGGTGGATACAGGGCATCAGAGGGTGTTGTGCTAAGGCAGCTGAATTGAGGGTACTCCTTGTGTACCTGGTTTTGAGTGTCTCTGAAGTTCTCTATGAGTCTCTGGAGCTCTTTATGCTGATGGGCTGGCCCTGCCCAGAACTCAGGTCCAGGACTTGCTCAGTGTGTGTCAGGTGGGCAGGAAAGGGAGTATGAAGATGTGCCTTCCAGAAACTTCCAGCTTCCTTCAGCCAGGGTAGAGACCAGTGGAGTCCAGAGCTTCCCTCCCTTCCATAGGCCTGGACATGGTCTGCTGGGACTGCAGTAGCAGACCCAGACCCCAGGCCTATCAAACCCCTGACATGCTCCAGATCCCAGGAGCTGTCCCCCTCCCCCAAAATACCAGGAATTTTGAGATCTCAAGCCCCAGGACCTAAGCCTCCTGATCTCCAGGACATATCTCTTTGATAAACCAGACCCCAAGCCCCCAGTTTCCCCAGGTCCACTACCCCAGCCGCAGGCCTGCCTATTCTTCTCCCCCTCCTCCACAGCCTGAGTGCCTGGTGCTTCCTCATTTGCTCATTTCCTCTTATTCTAAGAGGCCTCAGTGCTGGACACTGCCAACTCCTTCCAAGATGTGGGGTGTGGGAGAAGGCCCATCTGCACCCGGGACAGCTGGCACCCCTCTGCCCCTCTCCTCCTGAAAGCCCAAGTGTCTTTTGTGTGTTTGCTGGCTAATTTTAATATTTTAATTAAATGTGTTAACTATGATTTACATTCATATGAAGTGATAGAATCCTAAAGTAAAAAATATTAAAATGTACATGGTGAGCCCTGGCCAGTTTGGCTCAGAGGTTAGAACGTCAGCCTGTGGACCAGAGAGTCCCAGGTTTGGTTCCCACTAAGGGCATGTACCTCGGTTGCAGTTTGTCCTGGGCCCCAGTTGGGGTCGTGTGGGTGGCAACCAGTCGATGTGTCCCGCCCCCCCCCCCCAATCTATCTGAAGATAAATGGAAAAATGTCCTCGGGTGAGGATAAAAAAAAAAAAAATACATGTGAGGTTCTCCCTTCCATCCACCTGCTACTAAGAGATGACAACAGGTATTTGTTATTCGTGTTTCATCCAGTTTCTTTAGGCAAATGAAATCTAGAAAATTAGCCCGGCTACTGTGGTTCAGTGGATTGAGTGTCACCCCATGGACTGATAGGTCCTGGTTTGATTTCCAGTCAGGGCACTTGCCTGGGTTGTTGGCTCGGTCCCCAGTAGGGGGCATGCAGGAGGCAGCTGATCAATGTTTCTCTCTCACATTGATGTTTCTATCTCTCTCTCCCCAAAATCAATAAAAACATATTTTAAAAAAAAGAAATCTAGAATACTGTTGTTATTATTATTATTATTTGCTTTACTCAGTTAATATTTTTCCTTGGAGACATCTGCTTTCACCCAGGCCAGCTTCCACTCCAGGGCTTTTGCACAGGCTTTTCCATACATTGGGTTTCCTTCCCCCATATCCTTACTCAATGAGCTGCTTTATCTTTTTCAATAAAGTCTCCCTTGATCATTCCATTAAAAAGGTGTAGTCAGTTGGTGAATGTGGTCCCATGCACCAAAAGGTCGCAGGTTCAATTCCTGGTCAGGGCACATGCTGCGGTTGCAGGCTCAGTCCCCAGTAGGGAACATGCAGGAGACAGTTGATCAATGTTTCCTTCTCATATTGATGTTTCTCTTGCTCCCTTGCCCTTCCTTCTTGCCCTTCCTTTCTCTCTAAAAATATCAATAAAAAAAAACATTAAAAAATAAAAAAGGTGCTGCCCTAGCCCTGGCTGGGTAGCTCAATTAATTAGAGCATCTTCCCCATATGCCAAGGTTGTGGGTTTGATCCCCAGTCAGGGCACATACAAGAATCAACCAATGAATACATAAATAAGTGGAATAACAAATCAATGTTTCTCTCTCTCTCTAAAATCAATCAATCAATTAAAAATATTTTTTAAATGTTGCCACCCTCCCTGATTGATTCTCACCCTTATTTTTCTCTGCACTAATCCCCACCACACACTACATATTTTCCTGATGAATTCTGCCTGTCTCTGACTGCTACATAAACCCCATGGGGACAGGCAGTTTACCTGTTTTGTTCATGGCTATATCCACAGCTCCTAGACCAGTGCCTGCCAAACAGTAGGAGCTTAATACAGTTTTGTAGAGAAAATAAGTATTTAATGATTTATAAAGATCTATAATTTTATTTTCATGACTCTGTGCACCCCCAACCAGGATAAAGTGTTTTTGATCTAACCAATCTCTTAGGTTGTTTACAATTTTTTATTTTTATTTTTTATTTTTTTATTTTTTTATCCTCACCCGAGGACATTTTCCCATTTTTTGTTCAGGGAGAGTGGGAGGGAGAGAGAGGAACAGAGAGAGAAAGAGAAACATCGATGTGAAAGGAACACATCGAGTGGCTGCCACCCACACAACCGACCAGGGCCGGGGACAAACTGCAACCGAGGTACGCGCCCTTAGCGGGGACAAACTGCAACCGAGGTACGCGCCCTTAGCGGGAACCGAACCCGGGTCTCTCAGGACCGCAGGCCGACGCTCCAACCGCTGAGCCAAACCGGCCAGGGCACAATTTTTTAAATATAACAGACAGTGCTGCAATGAATCTTCTCATTGTCAAGTCATCTGTTTGTCTTCTCTTTTTTTTATCATGCAAAATGCACTTAACATAAAATGTACCATTTTAACCTTTTTGTTGTTGTTATTAATCCTCATCTGAATATATATTTTCTCATTGAATTTTAGAGAAAGTGGAAGTGGGGTGGGAGGGACAGAGACTGACAGAAACATCAATGTGAGAGAGACTCATTGATTGATTGCCTCCCATACACACCCTGACCAGGGCTGGGGATCAAACCGGCAACCCATGTGCTTACCCTTGACTGGGAATCAAACTCAAGACCCTTCGGTGCTTGGGCTGACTCTTTCCATTAAACCACACTGGCTAGGGCCCATTTTATTTTATTTTTTATTTTTTTATCCTCACCCGAGGACACTTTCCCATTTTTTGTTCAGATAGAGTGGGAGGGAGAGAGAGAGAGAGAGAAACATCGATGTGAAAGGGACACATCGAGTGGCTGCCATCTGCTCAACCAACCAGGGCCAGAGACAAACTGCAACCGAGGTACGTGCCCTTAGCGGGAACCGAACCCTGGTCTCTCTGGCCCACCAGCCGGGGCTAAATTGTTCACTTTAAAATGGTTAAAATGGCCCTGGCTGGTTTGGCTCAGCCGTTAGAGCATTGGCCTGCGAGCCAGAGAGACTGGGTTCAGTTCCTGCTAAGGGCACGTACCTCGGTTGCAGTTTGTTCCTAGCCCTGGATGGGTCGTGAGGGTGGCAGCCACTCGATGTGTCCCTTTCATGTCGATGTTTCTCTCTCTCTCTCTCTCCCTCTCTCTCCCTCCTACTCTATCTGAACAAAAAATGGGAAAGTGTCCTTGGGTGAGGATAAAATAAAATAAAATAAAGTGAACAATTTAGTGGCATTTTAGTTCATTCACGATGTTGTACAACCATCACCTCTAACTAGTTCTAGAACATTGCCATCACCCCAAAAGTAGACCTTATCTCCATTAGTAGTCACTTCCCATTACCCCTCCCCTGGCCCTTGGCAACTACTAATTTGCTTTCTGTCTCTATGGATTTGCCTGTTCTGGACATTTCGCATAAATGGGATCATACAACATGTGGCCTTTTGTGCCTGGTTTCTTTTGCTTGGCATTTTTGTTGTTGTTGTTGTAAATCCTCACCCGAGAATATTTTTCCATCATCATTATTATTATTATTTTTTATCCTCACCAAAGGACATTTTTGCATTTACCTTCAGATAGAGCAAGAGGGACAGAGGGGGGAAGAGAGAGAGAAACATCGACGTGAGAGAGACACATCAATGGTTGCCACTCACATGACCCCAACTGAGGCCAGGGACAAACTGCAACTGAGGTATGTGCCCTTAGTGGGAACCGAACCTGGGACTCTCCAGGCCACAGGCCAACGCTCTAACCGCTGACCCAAAGCGGCCAGGGGTCCATTAATTTTTAGATAGAGTGGAAGAGTGAGAGGGGGAGAGAGAGAAAAACACTGGTATGAGAGAGACACATTGATTGGCTGCCTCCTGCACCAGGTCAGGGATCCAATCTGCAACCCAGGTATGTGCCCTTGACTGGGAATCAAACCCAAGACCCTTCAGTCCTCGGGCTAGCATTCTAACCACTGAGCCAAACCAGCCAGGATACTACTTGGCATGTTTTTCAGGTCCATCCACATTGTAGCTTGTGTCAGTGCTTCACTCCTTTTTATGGCTGAGTAATATTCCACTGTGTGGCTGGACCATGTTGTGTTCATCCTTCATCAGTTCATGCCACTGTCATTTTGCAAACATGTTGATATTTGTGGAAATCCTAGGGTGGGATTGCTGGGTGAGTGAGCATTTGTGTTTGTGATTCTGGTGGCCTGTGCCAGGTTGTCTTCCATGGGGGTGGCACTATGAATGTTCTCCCAGCAATGTGTGGGATTGCCTGTTTCCTCACAGCCCAGCCAGCACAGGTGTATCACACTTTTGAATTCTTGCCAATCTGATAGGTGAAAACAAAGGGTATCTCAGAGTTATTGTGATTTACATATTCTTATTAGGAGTATCTTTGGGTGTGTTGAAGAAAAATGTGCAACCCTTTCTGAAAAGTCTCAGTTCAGAACCTTTGACTTCCTCTGAGTTTGGAAATGAAAAGGAGCAGAGTCTGAGGAAAGGGGAAAATGGAGGGAGTGGACTGCAGCCTCCCAGAATCTAGAAGGCTCTTAGCACTTATCCCATTTTACAGATGTGGAAACTGAGGCACAGAGCAGTTAAGGTTGCACAGTGAGTCAGGGGTTAGAACGGAAATGAACCTGTTCTGCCTGGTTCCAGAACTCCAGTGAAACTAGACCTTCTCCCAGCTCACTCTTGTCCACTCTCTCCTCAATCTCACCTTTTAAAAAAACACAAAACATTTTTTTAATTAATTTTTTAGAGAGAGAGGAAGGGAGAGAGAGATAGAGACATCAATGTGAAAGAGAAACATCGATTGGCTGCCTCCTGCACTCCTCCTACTAGGGATCGAGCCCACAACCTGGTCATGTGCCCTGACTGAGAATTGAAATGGGACCTCTCAGTCCATAGGGTGATGCTCAATCCCACTTTTGTCACTATCCCTCAGGTCTGGGACACCGGCCTCTTCCCTAGGTTCTACTATCAGACCCCAGGCTCATTCTAGATGTATGTCTTGACACAGTGCCCCTCCCTACCTCACACATCTACTTTGGCTTCCCATGGCCCTGGGAATAAAGCTCCACTCCTCAGCCTGCTTGGAGGCCTGTGCTGTCACCCCCACCTCCACCCCCACCACACACACACACACACACACACACACACACACACACAGTACCAGTTCCTCCTCTTAGCATGTCCATTCCAGCCACTCCACTCCTGACCACCAGTCCCAGGGCCCATTCTTTGAGCCCAGGGCTGAGGGCCTTTGCTTCTGCTATGCCTTCTTCCTAGAATCTGCAAGTGTATTTGTTTCTGCTTGCCACTACCTGCCCTGCCACTTATCCTCCAAGTCCCAGATTCAATGTCCCCTAACCCAGGGAACCCCCTTACAGCCCCCTCAACATGGGGGCATCTTTGTACACGAGCAAGAGCTCTGAGTCTGTTGGGAAGGCTAGGTATTTGGAAAGTGAAAGGCAGGTTTTAGGAATCCTCAGCAAACTGTGTTGAATCCCTAATTTTAATGTCTCCTCCTCCAAGAAGCCTTCCAGAACCTAGTTCCTCCCTCTAGCACTGCCCTGACTTCATGAGAATAGAGGTGTCTGTGTCCAGCTCTGTCCTCTCCTAAGACTAGTGTTCCTTTGAGAAACTAGACAGGGCTGAGATCTTGGGGGCCCATGGATGATGTTGATTGAATGAACAAACGAATGCAAGGGTTGAGAGGCAACTGAGCTGAGACCAGGAAGTGACTTGATGAGGTAATATCAACTGGGATGTCAACGGGGGTTGACTGGGTTCCAACAAGGGGGAAGCGGGCCACCCCTCCCCCTCCCGTGAGACTCCTGGGCATGGAGGCCTTGCAGAGGGGCGGGTCTTCTCTGTGTCTTCTTCATTCTTGCCCTCTGCACTCCAACCGACACCAGTTCCTCTTCCCCTGCTTCTCTGGGTGCAGAGTCTGAGGAGCGCCAGGGACACAGGGGATCTAAGAGGGTGCCGGCCTCTGTAGCCCCGGGTCCAGTTGAGCCACCACGAAGTTCCTCCGCACGGGAGCTCCCCAGCACTGCCCAGGTAAAGGCATGGTAATGGGACCGCAAAGGTAGGACAGTGGCTAGAACTGGGGTCTGTGCAGGGGCTGCAAATCAGAGCTCTGCAGCCCTCACCCCATCCAACCCAGCCCAGGACTCCCAACCACTGTAGTTCAGGGTCGCGCCCGTTGCGGGGCAACCGTTCATTTGCATATGGTACAGTCTTGGCCAATGAGGCTGCCTGAAATGTTGGGTGATTGGGCCAAGCCCAAGGAACTCATCTGGGAGAAGGGCAAGGGGATGGGACTGGGTCTTCTTGCCCTCCAAGCCCCAGGGCACTAAAGTTATGTACCCGTTTCTCGAAGGGAATGAACTAAGGCTGGAGGCCAGAACCAAACAGCGAGGGGAGACAAGTGAGGGCTGCTTATTACCAGAAGCGTCCTGAGCTGTTCTGAGCTACCAAGAAAAGAACAAAAACAAAACACTAATAATAAACCCAGGTGTCGAGGGTAAGGGCGACCACAGGCAGAGGTTGGGGCTTGGATTCCAGTGTCTCTGCCTAGGTTGCTTGAATGGGAGGCGCCCTGGCGTGGGCGCTGTGGTTGCTGCTGCTACTGCAGGATCCATGCAGCCTGGGATTGTCCTGCAACGTATCCTCGGAGGATGTGGACTGGAATATGGAGTTCACAGCCACATGCCTGAACTTCAGCGGTCAAAGCCTGAACCTGCCCTGGAACAGGTCTCTGCAGGCCAGCAGCGTGCTCCTCCTCGACCTGTCTGGGAACAGCCTTCGAGAGCTCCCATGGTCCTTCTTTGCCCGCCTGGGGAAACTGCAGATCCTGGATGTGACTAACAACCCCCTAGACAACGTGGATGCCATGCTGGCAGAACGCTGTGACCTTGACTTGAAGGCTGACTGCCTCTGCATCCTAGCCTCCTGGCACAAGGTTCGAAAGGACAACTGCTCTGGCCAGCTGCCTCTGCAGTGCCTGGATGCAGGCACCAGCACCTGGCACAACCTCTCCACCTTCCTGGAGGTCGGCTGCTCCCCTGGCCTTGCCTCAAACACCATTGGGGCACTGGCAGCTAGTGGAAGCCTGCTCCTTGGGCTCTCCATAGCTGTCCCATTGCTGGTGTGGAGACTCCGGGCACGCTGGGCACCCAGTAGCCAGAATAAAACATGGGCTGCTCCAAATGGTCCCAGGCCTGGCTCAGTTCAGCAGCTGAAGTACAGTAGCCGGAGCCTCAGCCCTAAGCAACCAGAGGACAGCCTACCCAGACCTCCTACGCCTGACTATGAGAATGTGTTCATGGGCCAGCCACCCGACAGGCACCAGTTGGCCAAACACAGGTGAGTGACCCATACACATTTGCCTACAAGACCCTGGAGCCAGCCCTGGCAGGTTTGGCTTGGCAGTTAGAGCATCAGCCCTTGGACTGAAGGGTCATTTGTTGGATTCCCAGTGAAGGGCATGTACCTGGGTCGCAGGTTTGATTCCCAGCCCCAGTTGGGGTTGTGCAGAAGGCAACTGATCGATGTATCTCTCTTGCGCTGATCTCTCTTTCCCTGCCCCTCCCTCCTTCCACTCTGTCAAAAACAAACAAACAAACAAACAAAAACTCTGGAGCCACATGACCAGGGTTCAAATCCCAGCTCTGCTTCTTATAGGCTGTGTGATCTCGAGCAATTAGTTTTTCCCTCTCTAGGCCTCAGTTTCCTCATCAGTAAAATGGGGGTAATAGCAGCCTCCGCCTCATGAAGTTGGGGTAAGAATGAATTCCTGTAAATGGGACAGGTTCCTACTTCATGACCTACAAACCCAGTTTCTGGCCACCAAGGACAGGGAGAGAAAAGGCAAGTGCTCTAGGCAGAGTGGGGGCTCTGTGGTATTGTCAGCAGCCTGGGTGTAGATCTCGTGTGACCCAGAGCTGTCGTCTTTGAACCACTGTTTCCGTCTCTGTGTAATGGGGACAGACCTCACCCCATCTCCTGTTTACACATGAGAAATGCTAAAAAAGCCATCTGTGTCCATCTCCCCCTACAAAGCCCCAATACCTCTAGATCTGGATGGGGTTAGTAGGTTCAACTTTTCCAGGTTGGATAAGAAGTGGAGGGAATTTCAAGGGGAGGCACCAGCAGAAACAAATGTCAGCAGGTGGGAGAGAACAGAGAATCTGCTGTCAATGGGTTTGGAGACAGCAAGACATTAGAGCTGAGGCTGAAGGGGCAGAGAGGATCCAAGCAAGAAGGGAATGGGTCCTGGCTAGGTTTGGGTGATGAGATTCAAATGTGGGAAGGCTGTGGAAGCCTACTGATGAGAAATGAGAGAATATGCAAAGCAGATGAAAATATGGCTTAAAAGCAGAAGTGGTCTGCGGTCGGGATTTGAAGGAACTAGACTTGCTAAGGCAGCTTGTTCTCTGATGCTCGCATATGCTTTGCATCTGCACAGTCACTAAGGGCTCAGGGCCAGTCTCTTTGAAAAACATTTAGGATTGGATGTGTCACTCCCATTCTACATTTTATTTATTTATTTAAATCCTTACCCAAGGACATTTTTCCATTTATTTTCAGATGGAGTGGGAGGGTGGGGGAGAGAGAGAGAAAGAGAGAGAGAGAAACACCAATGTGAGAGACACACATTGACTGGTTGCCTCCCACACAACCCCGACTAGGGACAGGGACGAACTGAAACCGAGGTACCTGCCCCTGACCGGAAGCAAACCCTTGACTCCTTGGTCCGCAGGTCGATGCTTTAACTGCTGAGTCAAACTGGCCAGGGCTCCACTCTACATTTTATTTATTTATTTTTTAAATCTTTATTGTTGAATGTATTACAGATGTTCCTAATTTTTCCCCCATTGACCGCCTCCTCCTCCCTCCTGCCTTCCTCCTGCCTTTTCCTACACTATTGTCTGTGTTTACTGGTTATGCATATAAGTTCTTTGGTTTATTTCTTCCCACCCCCCAACCCCTTTCCTTTTGGGGTTTGTCAGTCTAGCAATGAATTTGTACTTCTTAATCCCTTCACCTTTTTCACCCATTCCCCCAACCCCCCTCCCATCTGGCAACCAACAAAATGTTCTCTGTATCTATGAGAATGTTTCTATTCTGCCTGTTCATTTTGTTTGTAGATTCCATTGTCAATAGATATGTATTCATTGCCATTTTGTTTGTTCATATATTTTATCTTTTTCTTCAAAAAGACCCTTCAACATTTCATATAATAATGATTTGGTGGTGATGAACTCCTTTAACTTTTTCTTGTCTGGGAAACTCTTTATATAGCCATTGATTCTAAATGATAGCTTTGCAGGATAGAGTAATCTTGGCTGTAGGTTCTTGCTTTTCATCACTCTGAATATTTCTTGCCACTCCCTTCTGGCCTGCAAAGTTTCTTTTGAGAAATCAGCTGACAGCCTTATGGGAACTTCCTTGTAGTTAACTAACTGCTTTTCTCTTGCTGCTTTTAAGATTCTCTCTTTGTCTTGAACCTTTTGCATTTTGATGATGATATGTCTTGGTGTGGGCCTCTTGGGGTTCATCTCGTTTGGGACTCTCTGTGCTTCCTGGACTTGTATGTCTGTTTCCTTCACCAAGTTAGGAAAGTTTTCTGCCATTATTGTTTCAAACAGGTTTTCAATTTCTTGTTCTCTCTCTTCTCCTTCTGGCACCCCCAAGATGCGAATGTTGGCATGCTTGAAGTTGTCCCAGAGGCTCCTTACACTAGCCTCATTTTTTTTTGGATTCTTTTTTCTTTTTGCTGTTCTGATTGGGTGTTTTTTGCTTCCTTATATTCCAAATCAATGGTTTGCTTCTTGGATTTACGTACTCTATTATTGAATCTGTGTAAATTATTCTTTATTTCAGTTAATGCCTCCTTCATTTCTGACTGTGCATCCATCATTTCTGACTGGTCCTTTTTTATGCTCTTAAGGCCCTCACTTCGCTGAGGTTCTCACTAAGTTCATTGAGCATACTTATAAGCAGTATTTTGAACTCAGCATCTGTTAGGTTGCTTATCTCCATTTCGCTTAGTTCTTTTCTTGGGGTTTTGTTCTGTTCTTTCTTTTGAGACCTGTTTCTTTGTCTCCTCACTTTGGCTGCCTCCCTGTGTTTGTTTCTGTGCATTACTTAATGAGAGGTATGGGGCTATCTGAGACCAGATGCTGCTTGTTTGAAAGAATTTAGGAACACCTGAAGCAGGATCCAAGACAGACCAATCCTATGGTTAAGCAAATGGCAACAGCTTGGGTGGGCCTGAAAGTTGGATGGGGCGGGGCCTCAAGGAATCACCAGGGCGGGGCAACCAGTGTGGACCAGGTTGCTGGAGTCCCAGATATAGCAGCTGTCTGCCGCCCCAGGGAAGGGCTCACCAAAGGAACAAAGGCCTCTTACAGCACGTTTGTCCCCGAGAAAACCCCCTCTCCAGCCCTTGCTCCAGTGCCAAACAGCTTAGTTCTTCCCTGTATGTCTCTGGTGCCCCTCGAGCTGCCTCCCCTCCAAGCTTAGAGAAAGTGAGTTCGATAAATCTGTGCTCGGGCCCTTTAAGAGGAGCTGCCTGGGGCTCCAGCCGTGTCAGTTTCCCTGAGCCTCAGTTCCCGCTGCTTTTTCCAGCCAGACGTTATGGGGATTCTCTTCCTGGCACTGCATCCCTGAGCAGGGCACCAGTTTTGATGTGGCTGCTGCTTTAATTCCGTAGTTGAAGGACTTCCATTCAGCTTGAATTCAGGCGGTTTTGAATGATGGTTGTTCTGTAGTTTAGTTGTAACTTTGATGTGGTTGTGGGAGGATGTGATACTGCATTTACCTACGCCGCCATCTTGACCGGAAGTCTCCATTCTACATTTTAGAACTGCAGAGAGGTAGGCTCTGGGAGGAAGGAGAATGATTTGCCCAAGGTCACACAGTGAATCAGAAGCAGAGATAGGAAACAAACCCTGACTCCCAGTCCTGTCCATTTCCAAACAACCATATATATGTTTGGAGTAACTAATACTAAAGCGTGAATGACTGATAGACACCACTTACACAAGAGGACCCAGGGTGGAATTAGGATGTTCTGGAGGCAGGAAAGTTCTTCTCTGGGGGTCTTGACTACCATAGCTAAACATTCATAAGAAACAACCTCCTCCCCAACTAATTTTATGGATTAAGAAACTGAGCCTCAGAGACTTTATAATGCAGCCACAGAGTCTGCTGCTTCATGGAAACATTTCCCTTTTATAGGACAGACACTGGCTTCAGCCACTTGTGTTCATGGGGCTGGTGTGACCAGAGCTTCCGATTTTTTGAGAAGAAACTTATGTCTTGATTTTAATGTAGAAAACGGGCAACCACCTCAACTTTAAGGAAGGAAAAAAACATGCTACAATGGCTCTAGGTCCTCAAACCAAAGCATTACAATGCTGAATCGATAAAATCTTCCCAGACTCACAGACCCTGACTTCCTTTCCTCAGAGAAACTTGCAGGCTGGAGAAGAGTGCCCCTTGCTTCAGTTTCTTGATATGTAAATATTAGGAGTGGACTTAGTCACCCTGAACTTTCTTTGCCCCTCAAAGCTGATGTGCCTACACTGAGTCCTTCTTCCCACCCATCTGTCTGTCCCCACAGGGATAACTCTTCAGAGGACAGCGACTTCTACATGAACTACGAGGGCCTCCACAAGGCCTCCCAGCCCATCTATGGCAACTTGGAGTTCCCGGGCCAGGCCCCAGCAGTCGAAGAGGAGTATGTGATCCCAGGACACTGAGCTGGAACTCCAGCCTGCCCCCTTCCCGGTGATTCGGGCCATTCCGGATCTCCTCTGGCATCAGTCTCCCAGGTCAGGAATGGGGCCAGAGAAGAACTGTCCTTGCAGCCCCCTCCCCAGCCCCTGCTCTGCTCTTCAGCCCCCTCAGCTGCTAGAAAGGGAAGAGAGACCCCAACACAGACACAGGAGGTTCAAGGTATAAACTCCATTGTCACCTTCCTCTCAGTGTGCAGATAGTACTCAATAAACACTGTGGGACTGATGAGGCTGCTGGCTCAGGGGAAGAGTGTTCCTTTCAGTGGAGACTTCCTGAGCTCTCAAGACTAGATCTCTGAGACTCCTAAATTTCTCCCTAGTCCCTCTCCTTTGTCCCTCTCGGGCCCCTTCCCCAAGCACCTGGCATCCAGACTTAGCCCCCATGGCAACCCACATCAACTCCAGAGGGATTTTTGTAACTCATGAATCAGAACTGTGTCCATCCCCTGCTCACACACTCTCCATGGCTCCCCATTGTCCCAGGATCCTCAGCCTGGTACTTGAAGACTGCATGATCCAGCCTTGTATACCTCAATGCCCTCTCCCATCCCTCTGCCCTTCTGGTCTGGGCCTCATCCCCACGTAGCACACCTCCCTCTGGAAGCTTTCATTTTCCTAAGCTATTTACCCATGCCATTCCTTTTTTTTTTTTTTTTATCCTCACCTGAGGACATTTTTCCATTTTTTGTTCAGACAGAGTGGGAGGGAGAGAGAGGAAGACAGAGAGAGAAACATCGACATGAAAGGGACACATCGAGCGGCTGCCACCCGCACGACCAACCAGGGCCAGGGAAGAACTGCAACCGAGGTACGCGCCCTTAGCGGGAACTGAACCCGGGTCTCTCTGGACCGCAGGCTGACGCTCTAATCGCTGAGCCAAACCGTCCAGGGCCCATGCCATTCCTTTTGCTCAGAATGCCACCCCTTTCCTCTTCTTACTCATAAACATCTTAATACAGATGCAGGGCTATGGCTGGGGCATTAGGAGGCACGAGTCCAAGTCCTAATTCTGCCAATAACTCCGTGGGTCTCAGTTCCCCCATCTATAAAATGTGGTGTTAGAAATGATCTCTAAGTCTGTTTTAGTTCTCATATACCCGCTATTTTAACTCATCCAGAAACAGGAGTACTGAGAGATGAGGAGAGCTATAGGGAGACTGAACCCCAGAGAAACGGAGATATACAAGCATGGAGACAGAGAGGGGTGTCCCAGGCTGCACTTGAGTCCTTTATAAACACCATCCAGTTGCCTGTCAGCTCCAAGCCCTGCTGCCCATTCACTGAACCCTTCCACTCATCCTTATATTAGGCCCCTTGTGGGAACTGAGGCCAGGGAGGAGCGGGCTCTTCCCAAGGTCCCCAGCTCCATTTGGGCATCACAGGAGTCAGGTCAGACAGATTCATTTTTATTAACAGAGTTTAAATAAATGTACAGCCTGCTGGACCATCCCTCCCCATCCCTCTGGTCCTCTAGCTGGTAACCCCAATAAGTTAATAATAAATACCACCTTATAAATACAGCGGTTTGGGCGGAAGGTCGCACACAGCAGTGGTTATAACAGGATATTTCTGGTCCCACTTGCCCATTCCATTCGACAGGCAAGGACTGAGGTCACCTCCAGTGCGCACGTGCCTTCAGTGAAGGCCTAGGTCCACTCATAAGCAGTGGCAGTCGTTGGCCACAAGGTCGTCGAAGGGCGTGAGGGACATGCAGCCCTCGCTGTCGCGGTGAAAGAGTACCACCGGCTCACTGCTAGCGGGCACGCAGCAAGGCACGGGAGCACCCTCACGCTTCCGGCGGTGCAGATGCGTCAGCAATGTGTGCATGCCTGTTAGCCAACCGGAACTGGCTCGAGCACTCGCCAGTGCACATGCGCACATCCCGCTCACGCGGTGCCATTACCCAGTAGCTCCAGCCCAAGTCATCCAGCGGTGCGCGCAGTCTGTGCAGGCGGTAGCAGCGCCCCTCCCCGAGCCGGCAGCTGTTCTGAGCGCACGCATGCGTGCTGCGGCGTTGCCCGCCCGCGCGGCCGCCAGTGCAGCTCCAGCTGGATCTGTGTAGAAGTCGATGCTGCCAGTAACCGATCAGGTGGCAGCTGCAGGTGCAGGCTCAGTGCGGGCTCCCGGGAGACACCGAAGCCGATCAGACGCTGCAGCGGCCCCGTCATATTTCACGAGCCCAACTCCGTTGGGGACAGCCTGAGCAGGGCCCGATGCAGGCGGGAGGCTGCGTGGAAGCCCTTAGGTTGGCCCGGGGGATGCCCAGGTGCAGGTGACCGCTTGGTCCAACTCTCACTGTGGGAGAGAGAGGGGAAGGCCAGTTACCCACGGTCCTACTGTGTGCCAGGCGTGAGGGTGCCCATTTCCTCCCACAGGTTGGTCCCACCTCAGATTCATTGCATAAACCACTTCCTCCACCGCCACATTATTTCCCTGAATCTCTCCAGCCTGCTAAAATAGGCATCACCCTATTTGATTTAGGTAGTTGTATATCATTTCATCGTCCCGTACTAGAATCTTAGCAGGGATATCTGTCTGCTTGGTCACTACCGATGCTTGGCACACAGTAAGTGCTTAGTATATACTTGCCCGATATTCAAAGGCTGATTCTGCCTCCTCCTGGCAGTCAAAAACATTTTCATTGAAGCTCCTATTAAGTGCCTGGGGCTGGGGTTTCAGCAACCAGAACTGTGTTTTCAATTCCTTGGGTTTCTGTTTCCTATCTGAGAAATGAAGAGGAGCAGGCTCCCTGGGTTTTGCAGACCCCAAGTCTGTTACAGGTATTGGGGATACTATGGGGAGCTGGTGTTTGAGTTGTTGCATAAGCACCACGGGTTCGCTGGGCTCAGAGAGGGCCAGAGGTTTACATGGAGTCTCACAGCACCAGTGGGATTAGGATGGGTTAAAATCGCTCCCTCTGGTTTGACACCCTCTCCCCAACCCCTCTCAATTCCCAGCGCAGCCCAGATCTTCTTTCTTCCACTCTGCCTCCTGGAGCCCCCATGGAGGGCGCGAAAATACTCCCCTCCTTCTTTCAAAGCACCTATCACGTGCGACTTGTGCCATGCCTTGTAGTGCGATTGCATCAGATTTGGAATAGGTCCGGGTCAGTTCTGCCCATCATTGTGCATGCCAAGTCCCACCTACTCCCCCCTCTCATCTTCTGCCCCACCACTGCCTCCATCCTCTTGGATCCCACCCACTCTCAATCCCCACTTCCAAGGACTGGGATTGCGCCCTCTGCCAACCTCGTCTCAGGGCTCTGCAGACTCTGAGACTTCAAGAAAGTCGCTGGCTTCTCTTGGCCTCAGTTTCCCCATCTGCTACCCAAGGAGGTGTAACTCTCCTCTTTCACGTTGGCTAAGCATTGCTCGTCCCAACCCAAACAGGGACAAGCTTCCCCATCAACCTCAAGGAGGGACGTTCTTGTCGGCTCACAGATGGGGAAACGGAGGCTCAGTGTCATGCTCTATGACTCAGACCACTGATTAGATGATAGAAGCTGTTTGGTTGGGGGTGGGGGTGTGTATCAGAGATTTAACTCATGCTTTGGGGTATCTGGACTTGAGCAGCAGGGATGAAGTCGGGGTTCCAGTCTTCCCAGGTCTGGTTTGCTTGAAGCCTGGTCAGCAAGTCTTCATAGGAATCTGGAGACACTCTGACTGGAGTGCACATCTCAGGGTCCTAGGATGTTCGGGAGGTACTCCTGGGCCAATGATAGGATGCCCCCCCTATGGCAGCCACAAGAGCATCAGAAGCACCAGCAGCATCTCAGGGCAGCACAGTGTTGTAGGTCCCAGCCTGTGTATAGCTATACTCCTTGTGCTCTGAGCTAGGACTGACAGGATGCTGCTGGCCAGGCCTTTATATTCTCTGGACTTTGTCCACCCCGCCTGCCTGGTCCAGCCCACCCACCAGGGGTGCACAGTAAACACTCCAGGGACCACAGCTGGGCAGGGTCTGTGGCTGCTTTTCAGGGAGATGCTTGGTGGGGAGTGCTCCTGGGAAAGCTGGGGACTGCCCCCACCCCTATCCAGGAGTGCCTCTTAGCCTCAGTAGTATCTTTTTTTCAGAAAAATTTTTTTCTTTATTGATTTTAAAAAGAGAGGAAGGGAGAGGGAGAGAGAGATGGAAACATTGGTGAGAGAGAACATTGATTGGCCACCTCCTGCATGTCCCCCACTGGGGATCTGGCTCACAACCTGGGCATGTGCCCTGACCAGGAATTGAACCAGCGACCTCTTGAGTCGATGCTCCAGCACTGAGCCACACGGGCCAAGCCTCTGTAATATCTTTTTCTGTGAAATGGGGACATCATCCCAGCTTGGTGGGCTTATGGGAAGAATGATTTTGTTAAAAAACAAACAAACAAACAAAAAACTTAGAGAATTCCAAAATGGCGGTAGAGTGAATGGAAGCTACACAGACCACCTCCCAGGACCAAACTGGAATTACAACTAAAACACAGACGAATTGACGGGAAAAAGCAACAGAAAAGCAGCTTGTGAGGATCATATAACCAGGGACACTGACTCGATCCTGGTAGGATTGCAGAGGCGCGAGAGGGGGGCTGGGAGCCCACAGACAGGAGCGGTCTTAGCTGTGAGCAGTGCCCTCGGGTTGAACTCCCAATTGGCTCCACAGAGCAGAGCCGGGACAGAGGCTAAAATTGCCACAGCCACGCACCTTGGGCTCCAGCAGAGGGAGGGCGGACTGGACTGGAACTGTGTGGGGACACTCGGGATTTGGAGGGGGCTCAGAGTTTTTGCTGAGTTGCAGCCACACAGGACGGTAGCCATCTTGCTCCTTCCCAGGGCTCTGGGGAGAGGCAGCGGCCCCTCCCTCAGAGATTCAACCCCACCCTGTGGGCCATTGAATTGCAAATTGAGGCTCACTAACAACCAGCATCTTCCCCACCCTCGGGAAATCCCCTTATACTGAGCACCTGAGGGAGTTTTTCATTCAACTGACAACCCAAAACTCTTCAAGTAACTGCTACTGATAGCCTCCAGGCAAAAAGCTAGAGGATAACTGTACCATTCCTGGGCTAGCAACTCTAACCAGGAAAGTATGACTTGACAGTGGTGTTTCACGTGGGTCCTCCCTTGCTCAACCAAACCAAGGAGAGGGAGCCACAAACAGCAGAACACCAACACCCACAGGGAAAACTCGGCAGGCTCCAAAGCCCACTGTGATAGCCAAAATGGTGAAACACAGAAACAAAAGCCAAATGAAAGAACAAGTGACCTCTACCGAAGATGAGATATATGTGGAGCAGTTAAGCAAGTTAACAGAGCTAGAATTCAGAGCCATGATCTTGAGGAAGCTAAAAAGCATGAGTAAGGACATAGAGATGTTGAAAATCAACTAATTGGAAATTAAAAACCACCAAGAAGAAATAAAGAATGACATATCAGAAATAAAGAACACATTGGAAGGTCTAAACAGCAGAGTAGAGGAAGCTGAGGACCAGATCAGTGAATTAGAAGACAGGGTAGAAAAAAATCAACCAGTCAGAAAACCAAAAGGAAAAAACGATTAAAAAACAGGAAGACAGCTTAAGAGAACTGTGGGATAACTGGAAACATAATAATATTCGCATCATAGGAGTCCCTGAAGAGGAAGAAAATGAGCAAGGGTTAGAGAATATATTTGAAGAAATAGTGACAGAAAACTTCCCTAATTTGGTGAAGGAAGAAGGCATTTAAGTTCAAGAAGCACAGAGAGCCCCAAGTAAGAAGAAGAACCCAAACAGGCCCACACCAAGACACATAGTAATTAAAATGCCAAAAATTAAAGACAAACAGAGAATCCTAAAAGCAGCAAGAAATAAGCAATAGGTTACCTACAAAGGAACCCCCATAAGGCTATCAGCTGACTTCTCACAAGAAACACTACAGGCCAGAAGGGAATGGCATGAAGTAATCAAGGTCATGTAAAACAAGGATCTGAATCCAAGACTACTCTACCCAGCAAGGCTGTCATTCAAAATAGAAGGTCAAATAAAGAGCTTCCCAGACAAATAAAAAGGCTAAGGGAATACATTAGCACCAAACCAGCACTGCAAGAAATGTTAAAAGAACTGCTGTAATTAGTAGAAAAAATAGGAAGAAAAATATAACCAAACTAAACAAAAATAGCAATAAATAAGTACATATCAATAATCACCTTAAATGTAAATGTACTGAATGCTCCGATAAAAAGACACAGAGTAGCTGATTGGATAAGAAAACATGACTCATCTATATGTTGTTTACAAGAGACTCACCTCACAACAAAAGACTCATATAGGTTGAAAGTGAAGGGATGGAAAAAAATCTTCCAGCCCTGGTGGTTTGGCTCAGCTGTTAGAGCATCAGCCTGTGGTCTGGAGAGACCTGGGCTTGGTTCCCACTAGGGGCATGTTCCTTGGCTGCAGTTTGGGGTCGTGTGGGTGGCAACCACTCGATGTGTCCCTTTCACATCGATGTTTCTCTCTCTCTCCCCCTCCCACTCTATCTGAACAAAATATCGAAAAGTGTCCTTGGGTGAGGATAAAAAAGAAAGAAAGAAAGAAAAAAATCTTCCAAGCAAACAGAAAGCAAAAAAAAAACCTGGGGTAGCAATACTCATATCTGATAAAATAGATTTCAAAATGAAGACCATAACTAGAGACAAAGAAGGCCACTACATAATATTGAAAGGATCTATCCAACAGGAAGATATAACCTTGATGAACATATATGCACCCAATATAGGAGTACCAAAATATATTAAAAATCTTCTGGAGGGCTTCAAAGGAGAAATCAACAGCAATACAATCATAGCAGGGGACTTCAACACCCCATTGACACCACTGGATAGATTCTCTAGACAAAAATTTAGCAAGGAAACAGAGACTCTAAATGAAGCACTAGACTACATGGATTAATAGATATCTACAGAGATTATACCCCAAAACTACAGAATTCACATTCTTCTCAAGTGTACATGGGACATTCTCAAAGATAGACCACATAATAGGACACAAATTAAATCTCTACAAGTTCAAGAAGATTGAAATCATATCAAGCATCATCTCAGATCACGATGGCATGAAACTAGAAATCAATTGCAACAAAAGCATGCAAAGACATTTGAACACATGGAGGCTAAATAGCACATTATTAAACAATGAATGGGTTACCATGGAGATCAAGGAAGAAATTAAAAACTTCCTGGAAACCAATGAAAACAAACACACAACAACACAAAATCTATGGGATGCAGCAAAAGCAGTTCTGAGAGGTAAGTTCATAGCACTACAGGCCTACCTCAAGAAACAAGAAAAAATTCTAAATGACTATCTAACCTCACGACTTAAAGAATTAGAAAGCAAACAAAAAGAAAACTCCAGCCCTGGCCGGTTTGGCTCAGCGGTTAGAGCATCCGACTGCGGTCCAGAGAGACCCGGGTTCGGTTCCCGCTAGGGGCATGTACCTCGGTTGCAGTTTGTCTCCGGCCCTGGTTGGTCGTGTGGGTGGCAGCCACTCGATGTGTCCCTTTCACGTCGATGTTTCTCTCTCTCTCTCTCTTCCTCTCTCTCCCTCCCACTCTATCTGTGCAAAAAATGGAAAAAATGTCCTCGGGTGAGGATTAAAAAAAAAAAAGAAAGAAAACTCCAGACCAAGTAGAAGGAAGGAAATAGTAAAGAGCAGAGCGGAAATAAATGACATAGAGACCAAAAAAAAAAAAAAAAATTCAAAGGATCAATGAAACAAGAACTGGTTTTTCAAAAAGATAAACAAGATTGATGGACCCTTAGCTAGACTCACCAAGAAACAAAGAGAGAGAACCCAAATACACAAAATCAGAAATGAAAGAGGAGAAGTAACAACTGACACCACAGAAATACAAAAGATTGTTAACAGCTACTATGAACAATTATATGGCAACAAATTCAACAATCAAAGCGAAATAGACAAATTTCTAGAAACACATAATCTCCCAAAACTGGACCAGGAAGGGATGGAAAACTTGAACAGACCAATAACAATTGAAGAGGTAATCAAGACTCTCCCAGTAAACAAAAGCCCAGGCCCGGATGGCTTCATGGGGGAGTTTTACCGAACATTCAAAAAAGAACTAACACCCATTCCCCTCAAACTATTTCAAAAAATTCAAGAAGAAGGAAGTCTTCCAAACTTGTTTTATGAGGCCAGCATAATTCTAATTCCAAAACCAGAATAAGACACTACAAAGAAAGAAAACTACAGGCCAATATCCCTGATGAACATAGATGCTAAAATCCTGAACAAAATACTAGCAAATCGGATCCAGCAATACATTAAAAAAGTTATTCACCATGACCAAGTGGGATTCATCCCAGGGATGCAAGGGTGGTACAATATTTTCAAATCAATAAAATGAAGAATAAAAACCACATGATCATATCAATAGAAGCTGAAAAAGCATTCGACAAAATCCAGCACCCATTTCTGATAAACTCTCAGCAATGTGGGAATAGAGGGATCATATCTCAATATAATAAAGGCCATATATGAAAGGCCTACAGCCAACATCATACTCAATGAGCAGAAATTAAAAGCATTTCCCTTAAGAACAGGAACAAGACAGGGATGCCCACTTTCGCCACTCTTATTTAACATAGTACTGGAAGTCTTAGCCACAGCAATCAGACATGAAGAAAAAATAAAAGGGATCCAAATTGGAAAAGAGAAAGTGAAACTGTCATTATTTGCAGATGACATGATATTATGCATAGAAAACCCTAAAGACTCCATCAAAAATC